GTGCTACGAATGGCGAGACTCACTGACGATGCCGACTACGATGCCGGCGAAACGTCTGAGAATGTACCACATCCACGGTCCTACTCTGGAAATAATGATGCATACAATGGACTCTGGACAAGGTGCGTTCCTCTAAGTCTTCCTACCAATATGACCGAGTTGCGGAAACACGGTCAAACAACTTTATTAACTTTCAAGATTAAAGCCAATCTCTTCTTTATCGGATCCTCGTGCTTTTTTACTATTTAAGGAATATTATTTACTGTTTATTGTTAACTTTTTTCATATCATGATTGACTTTTTTAAATTTTATATATCTATTACAGCTTTTGGAGCCTTTATTGCTGCTTTTACTATATATTGTATATAGATCGATACTAGAGTAAAGCACAACTAAATTCCCATACTCGAATAATTACTCATCTCCCAGCCTAACAACGCCATAGAGACTTGATTTAGTGTAATAGTATTAAGTAGCCATCTCGGTCATAGACTGCCTTATTAATATAGTAAATTTAGGTTTCAATAAATAGGTCAGTTTGAAGCAATCAACCTTGTAAATGTAATCGAAAATGGTTTTATGCTCTGATTATAAATGCGGCATGACAGACAAGTGCTAATTTATCGGGATCGTGAGACAATGTGTTGAGGACTTCTATGTGCCAATCAGTTTTCACAGCTCCAAATAAATCCCTCTGCATTTTTTCTTGAGGCCATCTATGCATCCCCTCACCCAACTTTTCGAACCTAATGAAAAGTCCAATGATATTAATTCATTAAAAGATTGTTTAAAACTCGACTTCATATCTATGTTCATAAATGCTCACCGTTAAATACAATAAATGTGTTTTTTATAACTCATTTTTTCAATGGCATGAATCGATCTATTTAACTTTTCGTCCATTATAATTTGCCTCTACTAATCTTCCGTCATTTCTCAAGCTTGCTGCACTATTTACCGCAGTCTTAGAGTACATTTACACCTTTATACATTTCCGAACGAATTTGCCAGGACTTTGATCTCTTTTTATCCTCTTATAGATATGTCACGATGTTTTATGGCTCGCATGACCCTTATTGCTCATAAGTATCCTAAGTTGGATTTATTTGTCAATTTTCGGATGATCATATGTATGTATCTTGTTAAGAACTGGGCTCATTTTCCCATTCTATAATTATTTGGCGCAGGCAAGCATTAAGACCATTCTTTAGGGTCTTTGTAGTTGCAATCCTTAGTACATTTTAGAGGGGTATTTATGCAACAGAGTACTTTTCTTTCGAAAACATATAGTTTAAATTACTTGCGTGATTTTACTGTACATTGTTTTAGACAACTATGTAGCATAACAAATAATTGAGCACAAAAAGCCAGGTCTGTAGTATGCACTAGTTTGGCACATTTTTTATATGTTTAAATTGTCATCATTTACTATTGATTTAGGCATTTAAATTGCTATTATACTATTTTAATAAATTTCTTCCAATTGTTTATGGTTATTTTTTGGAATTCAGTGATGCAATTATCGTTGCAATTATCAATTGCGCCACATCCGTATACGCGGGCTTTGTAATTTTCTCAAATCTTGGCTTTATGGCACAAGAAAAAAATACAACAGTCGCTGAAGTCGCCAGGTCAGGTGAGTAAAATGAGTCTCGAAGCCTACACTATACGTTTTTACTCTGCTTGCCCCTTAACTTTTTCTTATCTTTAAAAAAATCATCTTTCTAAGGAATGACTTTTTTATCCATAGACTTTGTCATACTACTCTATAAATTAGTGTTAAATGCCTTAACTAGAAATCCTGGCCATTCTTTGGATCTTGAAAATGCTGAAAAAATCTTGTTTCCATATTTCCTTTTGATTTTTTACTAAAGGATTTTCTATGCCTTAAATGAATACACCCCTATATCTTTATATAAGTTTGAACTCATATTATAACTAAGGACAGCTTAAATGTCAGGCTAGTAACTGAACGTTGGTATTCTATACATGATTTATTTGAGAAAGGAAACACTTGTTAATTTATGGAGGCCCCTATTTAAGGCTGCCTGTAACTCCAGAATGCCTTCCTTGATTTGGATTTGCCATTTTATATTTTTTGTTTGAGGTTAAGACTACATAATTTGCTTCTATTATTTGAGTACCTGTTACAAAATTTTCCTATTATTTGAGTACCTATTATAAAACTATGTTTTGAGGGAATCGAAAATTGGTCTGGTTGTTTTTTTCATTATTACTTGGCAATGAATCCAAGTGTTAAAATAATATTGGGTTACCTGATCAATTTTGGAAGAATATGTTATGGTATTATTCATAACTTTTGCATTTATAGTAAGTTCAAGATAAATGAGGTTATTTTTCTGAACTTGGCCATTTTGGCCAAGCCTGCATAACACAAAGTAGGTTTATCGCTTAATCTTGGCAGAGATACATTAGGGTTTATGATACTAAATTTAGATGAAGGGCTTATGCACTTCCTACAAATTGTATTTATAGTTAGATAAGATGCACTCACCCTATTTCGTTTAGAGTGCTGAAGGACTGGTAGTTAAATTTTTATACAATATGAGTATAGCTAACGTTTCCATTGAAATTCACATAGCCTTGCATCACCAAAAGTTGTTATCATCCAGGATGGGCTGTAGTTTCGACCTTACCTAGTTCTTGTTAACAGCCCCAGAGGGAGTTGAACCATGACAGTGCAGCTTATAAAGTTGACACGTTAACCACTCCGCCAGATTGCCACGAAGATCATTCGGCCACATAACAGATGTGAATTTCAGAGAAGGCCAGGCATTTTCCAATATCATATTCTTTAGTGGGCGTGTCGATGAAGCAAGGTTACATTTACTATAACAATGACTTAATTACTTATTGAAGTGGGTTGACCTCGTTGTCGCAACTTGGTCTTGTTGTCAGGGGGACTTAGTAGAACGCACCTAGTCC